GGGGGGGGGGGGGGGGGGGGGGGGGGGGGGGGGGGGGGGGGGGGGGGGGGGGCGTGTCCATCCGCGTCATGAGATGATGGGCTCCCCCAAATATATGGGATAGCGAGACAGGGCTTTGTTGACCCACGTTCGGTGACACAACAAACGAACCTGCCGAATAGTTTAACCTTTAAGTACAATAGTAATTTACACAACAAAAAACAAAAAACGAGGGTCGAACAACCCCCATAAATTACAAATTATGGCAAAAAAAAAAAACAAGGCCGTGCCATTCTACACCGACTACGGCTTTCCCACGACGGGTCTGAAACAATCAACAAAATAGCATTTGACCGATTTACGATCACCACGCAGAGAAGAACAAGTGGGGACTTGTTCTCTTTCTTCTGTGACATGCCTTCTCAAGGCGACAACAGGACGCACCCGAACCAAGCATTACTCATCATCAAACATGAAAGGCTCTCTACCCACTTAAACAAAATACCCAGTAAGTAAAAACACTACTTACACCAACCGCGCAAGCAGCGTGGGGACGCACCTAGCCGCGCAGTACTAATCACCAAACATGAAAGGCTCTCTACTCACTTGAAATAGAATACTTATAGGAAAAAAAACAACCAACAGCGCAAGCGGTGTGGGGGTGCCGAGTCTCTAACAAAAATACCATAATACCACAATTCAACAGACTACTACAACACCTTCGGTCCCTAAAAAATAATCCAACCCCTACGGCCATCAATACAACCAGTTAACAATACAACCAGCAACAACAAGAACAAGGACAACCACCAACAACAAAGTAGACAAGAAAAAAAGAAGAAACCACGAAAAAAAAAAAATCACGGTCCCCCTCCAAGGTCTATCCCCTGGGGCGGAGTATCGATGTCGAAGTACTCGTGCTCTATTCTCCGCGAGAACACGCGCACCACTCGAAACCCGGGAGGATCGGGGCCGAGAGGGGCTCCGCTTGAGCTTGTCACGACGCTGCGCATGTCGATAGCCTCCGATGTATCCGTGTCCTGAGCGTCGACAGATCGATCGTGCGAGGGAGGAGATCGGAGTTTTTTTTATTTTTCTCCCATCATTGGACTCTGTCGTCTGCCCCTCTGGCCCCTATCCTCCACTTCTACCAGCTAGACGACCCAGCCGGGGTCACATAGGAGGGGGAGGTTGGACCCCCTCCTGCGGTTCCTGCCTGAGATATTATTATCGCGTAAATGTGTCAGCCCGAATGAGGACGAAGGAGGGGCGGAGGAGGGCAACAAATGCTTGGACAGCATGCCGTCAGCGGAGCAACGTGTTGCCGCCCGAATTTCGAGCGAGGTCAGCGCATATTGCATGCCGATCCGATCCCTACAGAACCCGCGTAGGTAACGGTTGCGTTCTTACTCATTCTGTGCAATTCGAACCCTCGATTTCTAAAATTCCAAATTTCCCACGTGGTGGTGGTTTCTGCATGGATCTCGCAATTCTATGGGGAGATCGTCATAACAAGACTAGGACTCCGAGTCGGTCGGCGGAAGGGAGAGGCGTAGGTAGGGGTGGTGGGCCCGTTAAGTTAAGCAACAACAACAGCGTTGGGTTCGCCAACGGGTTCAACACACGCGTACTCACAAACCAAGAGCTGGATGATCCAGCAAAACGACAAGCAGACCATGAAAAAAAAAGCCTTCCCCTGGCACAAAACCTAGCACCAAGCAGATTCCCTCAACACACCTCATCATCATCCGAGATCGATCCCGGCGCGTCTTCAGCTTCCCCTTGTCCACCGACACCGTTCCTCAAATCATCCTCGGAGCCCTCCCCCCTGACGTCCACCACCACTTGCCGAGACGTCGCATCATCATCAACGACGGCGCTCCCCTCCTGGCCTACCGCCGCCGTCATCGTGGTACCATCGCCGGAGCTGGGATCCACGGCACCCCCCGCAGATGGCGACGGTGGTGATGGCCCGGGGACGTCGCCGGGAGGAGGGGCGGGGTCTCCGCCCGATGCGGCGTTATTGTCGGGGGTAGCAATGGCGGCGGCGGCGGCGGCGGCCGCGGGAGTCGGTCGCGGTGCCGTATCGACGGCAATCGGCCGTTTCACCCTGGCCTCGTAGTTGCGGTGGCAGTGGCCGGAGAAGATGAACTTCACCTGACAATAAGCAAACGGTGTCAAAAAACGCGGTTCATTTGAATCATCATTGTTCAACTGACTTTTCTGAAAGCGTGTACCACGCTTTCGTGGGTAGTTGGCGTGTGACCGCGAAAGGCGTCCGCGTCAGTTGGACCAGTACGGAGAGTCGGACGTACAGGCAAGAGACCGAAAATCTAAAATATGAAGACAACATACAAAAAAGCTCTCATGCCGGTCCGGGAGTGAGCGCTCTGCCGATGGTGCGCGGCGAGTGTAATCTTCCGTCTTCCCGTGAAAACCCGACGGGTGGATGCGTCCATGAAACATCACCGGGTTGGTCGTTGATTCTTCTCGAAAAACAGGGGGAAGAGTTTGGTTGCCTGCCCTGAAAATGAATTCAGCAGTGAAGACACGCCGACGAGATTGAACTTTTTATCGTTCGCCCCTGATAAAGTGGCACGGCCGCATGTTGCCCGCCAAATGCGCCAAAAAGACTGGAATATCTGGTGCGCGCGGCTGGCCGCATTTTCCCCTCTGGCCACAAAAGTCGATCATCAATCATCGGGGTCGCTAGGGGCAGCCGCAGCAGCAGTAGCAGCAGCAGGTAGTAGCAGCAACAGGAGCAGAAACAGTAGCAGCAGCAGTCGCAGCAACAGCAGCAGCACAAACAGCGGCAGCACAGCATCGTCTCACCTTGCAGTGGCCCATCTTGGCCAGCCAGCGGAGGCGCGTCTTCCTCGGAATCGGCGTCCACGTCGGGTGCTCCTCCTCGTGCGGGTCCTGCAGGAACCAAGGGTGATGTCCTTTCGGGGGGAGGGCACGCAGATAGTGATATGGGGTGGGGGGAGAGAGAGGTGGCGAGGAGTGTCATTTCGGAGCACGCAGACGGCGATGATGTTCGTGAGGGGGTGGGTAAGGAGTAGCGAGGAGTGTCCGGTCGAGGTGCCCCAGGAGGCAGCACAACGTGTATGGCGTTCGTGGGGGGAGGAGGGGGAGGGGGCTCATGTTTTGCATGCCTTCGCGGTTAAACCATGCGTCCTCGAGAGGACAGAGCATGGTTCCCATAGAACCTATCACCGATTGCCAACCGTCCCTTCCTGCCTTGCCACAGGTGGCCCAAAAATGTTTTCCCACCCCTATCCATCTTGTCGATATCAATCTTGGGGGGTAACGGGTAGCGAGGAGCACTAAGCGAGCCAGCCGGCCGAGGTGAGCGAGGCAGATTACAGGGAGAGCCAGGCAGAGGGGCCAGGGACTTCGAGCATGAACGCACCGCGCGCGACGCAGCGCAAAATGTGGGCACCAACAAAAGCGACAGAGGTGACACACGTGTCCTCCTCTCTTCACCGAGACCGAAACTTAAACGAGAGGGGAAAAGCCGGCAGGTACATTTTTGTAAGAGATCTGCCGCACGATGCAGGCAACCTATCAACAAGTTTTAGTCAATAGTGTATCTCACCCACGACTATCAAGTGGTGCGCGTTGAGCTTTGCCACTTCTAGCTCCTGGTCCAGCCAACGCTCCTGCGCCAAGCGCCTCTCCTGCCAGCATCCGCAAGAGTGAACG